AATGTGTTCAAGTAATTCGATGGATTGAGGAAGCTGTATCAGTTATAAGCGAAGACCAAAACGAAGTGGTAAGGTGTAGTACACGGTCAAAAGACTTGGTCATGACCCACATACAGCAGACATAGAGCTGTTTCACGAGCACATCGCCCGACTTAAGGACAACGATCTGTATAGTGCGCTGCTTCACCCTATACAGATCGTTGTCTTATGTTGCTGGAAGATTTAAGCTGAGAGAAAACTTACCATTTCAATATACCAGTTCATTTACTGCAATGAGAAAGTATGTATTCGCTCACACCTCCCGAAACCATTGTATCTTGCCGGTTGTTTTTAACCAATGATGTTTTTGATATTTTTTGGTGCCAAATCTTAACACACAGAAATAGCAGTTTCACGAAATAATCGGTTGTTTAACGTTAAGACGACTGCGGTTCAAAAAAGTATTTATTTTGTGAACTACGACATACAAATAAAGCAGTGATATTAGCTGTGAATATAAGATTTTAGCATGATGTTGAGTTATGCTGTTGGCACGCGGTTGATTATGTAACGGCGTGTCATGATACAAACCCGTGTTTTCAATTGTACAGTAATATGACCTTTATCTCGATCAATATTACGCCCACCTTGGCGCATTATCTCTTTCTGCCTTACATATAGACAATTGAAACCGTAATGGTGCCTCACGAATTGCAAAATCGGCTGTCTCATCCAGAGCAGCCTGATTATGGCCAGGATTCCGCTCTATGATGACGCCAAGAAGGAGTCTTTGGGGAAGCAGGCTTCAATTAATATTGAATCTACTACTTTTCCATATCATCATTAGTGATTCATCAGAATCATAATCACTGATGGGATAGTATACAGTGGCACGAGCAGCTTTAATAAGCACTAGCAGAGCGCACTACTTCAAGTTAGAAGTGTTTTGTATTAATCTGATCCCTTGTAAATATGGAATGCCGGCATTCGGTGGACCGTACAACTTCATCCTATTCCATGCTAGCTTAGTAATCGGTACTCAGCCAAAGCTGTCATCCTTGGATTCGCATGGAGGACTGCGATTTGGACTGGGTGCATCCAGTCTTTACTCACAACCGCTTGTATTTTGCGTGTGCACGCGGTCCAAATTGCTGTCAAATGCCGAAGTCTGGGTTCATGCACCACTTCGTTTCTCGGTTGTTCTACAGCAGTGTGTACATGACTGCAGGGATGTTCTGTAGTGTATGGAATTTTATCAATCCAATATCATGTTTTTTTTCATTTTTTAGTGTAATGCAGCTCGGTTAGTACTATTCCCTAGTTTCAGCACAGATATCAAAACTGTCATCGCACTACGGTACACCCGGAAAACAATGGAAGTTACGCCCTACCAATGTTGCACGCGCGCATACGATAACGTACTTTTGATCCGGGTTCAAATAAGGGAGGTATATACATTAGTGCTCGACTTTAATATAGTAATAGAGTAGTGATATTGGCTGTGAATATAAGAGTTCAGCAAGATGATGCTGAGTTGTGTTGTTGGTACGCGGTTGATTATGCAACGACGTCTAATAATACAAACCCGTGTTTTACAGCAATTGACCTCGACCCTGATTCTCGTCCTCAAGAGTTGCGCCGTTGAGCCAGTTTCCAAATCCCAACTCGATCATGATGGTACAAACGAGCTGAATCTACAGGTCCAATATTTTCGTATACCATAGTCAGCGGAAGTGATCTGCGTGTAGAAAAGATTTGAATCAACTCCTCATTGAAGACCTGTTATCCTGCATCCCAAGTCTGTGCTGACGTTTGCTCCACATACCCAATATGGACTTCGAATTGGATCACTTCGTCTCTGACGTTCTACAGCTCAAGTCTGGACAGCGATCGCGGGAATCCACAGCCATGATCTACCGCGTAGCCATATTGTTGACGGTGTTCATATTTGTTGCCAGCAGCTACACATTCGCAACGCCCAATAAGTCCTATTTACATGCAAATAAAACACCCCGCAGTTTACAAGAAAGCCTCTCTCGGCAACTGGAAGAGAGAGGCTTCCTGACGAATGTCGTGACAAACGTGAAGATGTGGTGGAAAACGAGGAGGTGGGCCAAGAAAGGAACTCCAGAGAACGAGGTTAAGAAGGCGTTGGGGCTCGACAAAATGACCGAAAGTTCGATAAAAGCCCATCCAAACTACAAGTACTACCAGAAGTTTCTCTACAAGGCAGAAGGAATTAAACTCGACGGATGGGTCGAGAGCAGCAAGATTTCTCCTCCGACAGTCTGGAGACATTTTGGGCTGGATAAAATGTCGGCCTCGCAGCGTGAGACGAGTGACAACATGAGGGTCTACGTGAGGTATCTGAAAAAGTACGACGATGCAGTATATCGCTACGGATATAAGGAATATTTCCCCAGTTCGGAAGCGGAAAAACAAGTCTACCTTAAAGTTTGGGCCATGACCGACAGACCTGATCAATATGTTCTCAAACGGTTAAATATTGACCGCGGAGAAAACAAATACTTCAGTTACAACTACAAAAGAATGAGGACACGCTGGAAGACTGAGGAAGAGATCATGGCCCATCCAAACTACTACCTTTTTAGGGAGTTTCAGAGATTGAAAGCGCAATCCTGGTGATCTGCTCGCTGCGACGTATGTGCTCCACTTGATAAAGATAATATAGCCCCAGCAAACGCATTTCGGATGGCAGCTAATTTTTTCTGCAATCGTATGTGTTACGAAGCAAGCCTTACTGATACTGGGAATTCCGAAGTGGACAGCCCAAACGGATTAATTTCACGGTACTGTGTGAGCGTAACCTGGCCAAACATTCGTACAACATTCTAGAGTACAGTACATCTGAACAATTGCCACTACAGTTCGACATGATGTCTGTAGTGACACTCAGTACTGATGTTATGCATTGCCCGCACAGTGTGTTTGTACAGTGTGTCAGTTATGCAATGCGAGTATC